ACCCGTCAATTTCATTAGTTAACATGATTATAATGTAAAATACTCTGAAGGTTTATGGTCGTATTAATTACATATAAATCAAATCACCCAACAGAAAAATCAATAGTGTAGTCTGACCCAACTCGAAGCGCGGGAAGTTACGACAACAACAACAATGGCGACTCCCGAGAAAAAACGTCGTACATCTGCTGTAGGATTCATCCACAATGTTTCTCCAGTAAAAACGGGTCGAAAAAATACTCAGTATATACTCAGTATTTTAAGGCTGTGTTTCAAACAATCAATGGGTACGAAGATGTTATCAGTTTCCATACTCTTGACCATCAAACGTTTGTTGAAATGGCAAAACAGAAGTAAGTAGAATCTAGATCTCTAAATTTCCTAGATCTAAATTTTTTTTAAAGTTTTTAACAGGCCGATCGGGCTTATGTCATAAAAATTATATTTCTAAAACAGAAATAAAATGCCAGTTAAAATCTTATAATGCCAGTAAAAATTACTCTAGCTGGCATTTATTTTGGCTTATAAGAGAAGTCACTTTTTTCTTGTCCTCTTGGCTAACTTGAACTCTAAACTCCGCTTTCAAATGTTATTGACAAAAAATGACAGAAAAAATAACTTTCTGTTAGTTTGAAGTATTTATGATGTGTAATACAAGCATGCATAACACCATGTTCCCAATTTATAACACACATATAAAAAAATTTTATTGTATCTACTGTCAAAGTCAATGTATCGTCAATATTTATCTCTTCAAAAATTTTCAGAATAAAGCTCAAACTATATTTTGCATGAAAAGCAATCATTCCTAAAAGCTGGACCACTGACGGGCAATCTTTTATGGGAACTTTCATGTTTTGATTTGTAATATGTAATTTTTTATCAAGTTTAGAGAAGTCCAATATTTCACCTTGGAAAGAAGTTGGTAAAATGTCAGACTCTACTGGCATGCGAGCAGTTCCCATACAAAAATCGTAGTTACTTAAACATTATTTTTTATTACGCTCACTCACCAAAATTTGAACGTTACACATCAATATTCGGCTCGTCACAGAAATCATGGAAATTCCATCATGTTCTAAACATAGAATAACCCTTAGTTATGAGGCCTCATATGGGGTACCGAAATTATCCATTATTTTGTATGAAGAGAAGTAGTTCCCGTACATAAAATTTAACCCATTATAATTATACAATTTTATTATATCAGACCTATTTTTCATTTATAATTGTTGAACAGACCATTTTCTAAGAGATAAATAGATGTAATGTAATTCCGGAAATAGAAAGACTAAACGCGTGTATCTATTACCCGGTACCGTTACCGCCAACGCATTCACATGCAATGGCATGCTTGTATGCATGATATTTTTACGCATCAAAGCCATAAAATTATTTTATATAGTAATATTGGTCAAAATTCTGATAATTAAACAAGTTTTCATCACATTGCCTTCTTATCAGTAAACAGGTGGTATAAGTGGAAAACCCTTTAACATGCCTCACGTGTAAGTATGTTTGCGCATGTGCGCAAGAACGGAATCCCCCGGATAAAACAAGGTCACGTTTTGACAACGCACAGGTGTAAGTTATTTAAAATGAGACTTTTTATACGTACTGCCGAACTGACATTTAGATTTTGTCTCGTTTATGTATCTGCTTGATTAAAAATGAATTTTTGAAGAATGCATGTAAAAATCAAGCGTTTAAATGAAAAATACGGGTACTGCTTCTGTACGGGAACTGCTCGCATTCCAGTATATGTCTAACTTTTGTTCCTTTACCCAATATGTATGCAACATTTAGTTTTACCTGTCTTAACAATATTCAGTTCAAAATTTCAATTACTTTAAATAAATTTCAGAACAGCTGTATGTCTGGAACAGACAAGCACCATTCCGTCCTTGAAGAAACAGGGAGCCTTTGACATCAAATTTAGTCATGACTCGAAAATAACCAGTCCAATGGAAGCAATAAGCTTTCCATACAGAGCCATAAATGAAGAGGAATCTTGCAAATTAATGAACATACTAGAAGTAAAGTCAAATTCAAAAATGCAAGACATGGTATGTATATTCATGCATTGGTGTTTTTCCAACATATTTCCAAACAGAATTCTTATTAAGAAAATTTATATTCCTGTATTATGTTTGAAGGGTATAAAGGTATTTCTCATCAATTATTTTTAGAACATGTATTAACAGTAAAATTATATTGCTTCCATAATCTTATGGTTGATTCTCAAAAGAGTTGTATCATAAATTGTCTGTTATTGAACACACATGAATGTTGTATGTAAACAGTATCATAAATTGTCTGTTATTGAACACACATGAATATTGTATGTAAACAGAATAAAATGTTCAGGACGAAAATAGTACTATGCTAATTTCAGTAGCATTTTATCTGATTAGCAATGATTTCATTCATGCCCCATTTATTTTAAACGCAATTTACTACCACATTTACTTCATACAAGCATTTTGAAAGTATTTTTAGTCCCCTACCGGTTTACCGGAGGGGACTTTAGGTTTACCCTCCGTCCGTCTGTCCGTCCGTCCGTCCGTCCGTCCGTCTGTCCGTCCGTCAGTCCGTCCGTCCACAAAACTGGATCCCGCGATTACGCAAAAAGTACTGAAAATATTTTAATGAAACTTGATATATGGATAGATGGCAGTATTGAGATTATGCACGTCTTTTTCTTTTCTTCCTATGTTGAAAATTCTGGTTGCTATGGCAACAAATAGACTGAAAACATGGCAAATTTTACACATAACCTGGATCCCGCAATAACGCAAAAAGTACTGAAAATATTTTTATGAAACTTGATATATGGATAGATGGCAGTATGGAGATTATGCACGTCTTTTTCTTTTCTTCCTATGTTGAAAATTCTGGTTGCTATGGCAACAAATAGACTGAAAACATGGCAAATTTTACACATAACCTGGATCCCGCAATAACGCAAAAAGTACTGAAAATATGTTTATGAAACTTGACATATGGGAAGATGGCAGTATGGAAATTATGCACATCCTTTATTATCTTCCTATGTTGAAAATTCTGGTTGCTATGGCAACAAATAGACTGAATTTCAAGATTTCTGATTCTAGTTTTTAAGTTTTTTCACTATAAGGTCTTTATTTCTTAAGGTATTTTCTTCAAACTTTAAATATAAGTTGCTTGTCATCAACCACATCATATGTGACAAGGTTTACAACTCTAGCACAAAATTTATCAGAATTACCTCCCTTTAACTTAAAATTTTCATGAAAAAAACATTTTATTTTAATAACTTCTTTTTCTGAATATATCTACTTCAAACTTCATATAAATGTTTCTTATTGTCACTCAACATTTGTGAGTGTTCAATACTCTAGCAAGACTATTTCCAGAATTATGCCCCTTTTGAACTTAGACTTTTTTTTGAGAAATTGGTAATTTTTACTCCAACTTCTTCAATCATGATAGGATTTTAAAAATGTTATATTTTGATAACATGGAATGTTTAAAAAATAACTTTAGAGTGTCCTTCAGTCCGTCTGTTCGTACATAAAAACTGTTTCCTGTGATCAACTTTTTCAACAAATTTACTTAAAATAGGAACCTAAGTGAATGGCCAATGGCCCTTCAGAATGTTGCTTGGGCTCTTACCGGTAGGGGACTTATGGATTGCTTGCAATACTATGATAATTGCTTGTTTTTTGTGCCCCAACTTTAGGGGGAGCATTTAGATTTACCCTTATCCGTCCTTCCATTTGTCTGTTATTATTTTGTGTCGCATATAGCTCAAAAACAACTTCAAAAGAATTTGTTCCATATGAGTTAAACAGATGTCATTTTAATGCTATTCTTCTAGCATTGTTTTTGATAAAACATGGCTTGAAAACGGCACCCATTGTTCAGAATGTTGTTGTGCTGTTTTTTTTAATGTGTTTCGAAGCTTGCCTTCTTATACAACTAAAGTTGAATTGTACCACTTTCATTTTACAATTTTCCGATTTAATCTGGAAGATTTTTAAAAAGAAATAGCTGTTTTTTAATTATGTCTTTGAATTATATGTCTTGTTTTTCACCATTTAAATATCTTATTTTATAGGTCACTGTTAAATGTAAACTGACTGGGTTCAGTGTGCGAGAGAGTGTGAAGCAAAATTTGGACAAAGTAAGTGTCACAGCCATAGATGGAAGTGCCGACATCACACTTGTTCTTTGGAACAAGCTCATAGATGAAGCAACAGAAAATTGCTTTTACAGAGTTACAAATGTTCGAGTGAAATCTTTTAATCAGGAAGTTTACTTGTCTACCACCTTAGACACAGAGTTAGAAGAAATTGATGAATTTCAAACCGTTGAAGTTGAATTACCTAAGGATGTGTGGACAGACATTGATACTATTGAAATAATATCCACATCTCACTGCTTCAGTTGCAAATCTGCTATTATTGTTTCTGAACCACAAGGCATGACCGTTAAATGTAGCCACTGCAAAAAAAGAATGTTGACAACCAAAATACAGAAAGTGACCCAAATAAAAGTTTCAGTTGAAAACAAGGAGTTCACTATTGCCAAAAATATGCTTGAACATGTTTTTCCATTATGGAATGAAAAAACATTTTCTGACCTGGAAGATGACATGTTACTTCACTGCGAAGTTAACATAAAAGGAAACAACGTTGTTGGATTGAGGAAAAAAAAGATCTAAGTTGTTAAAAACTTCAACCACTTCCTTTGATTATTTCTGATGCAGGGATCATTGTAGGTCAGTCTTAAGATGGGATGTTTTGCACAATTATTCAGTTTAGAAGCTGGTCAGATTTTTGTGCAAAGGTCTTATAAGCTAAAGTTGCCAATTGACTTTAATAAGTATTTTGAATAGAGATACTGTCTTACAAACAGATTTTTTTAGGTTGTTATGCCTCTAAATTTTAAGAGAAAAAAATTTGCCAATTTGTGAAATTCAATAAAAATGAAAATTTACATACACAATGGCAAATTGAGATTTTAATCAATGTTTTAGAAAAAATATGAAACAATTAGCTAAATTAATAGAATTTGTGGATTGATTCTAAAAACTTTGAAACACTGACTGTGATTTAGTTCCTTATTCATATGTAAGAAAAAAAATGCTGTTAGTGTTATATGACAATTTTGTGTAATACAATTCCACCTTTGGTGTTTTTCCTTATACAGAAGGCACTTAACAGCTCCAAATTTTAATGGTTGTCTTATGATTTCATGAATTTTACACTCGGTTTGTAAATCAATGAAGAATTATCAAATATTTAGATTTTTTCACTCTGTTAACCTTACAAACATACAAAAGTAAGTTATTGAACTTGTTCTTATCTTGCAAACGCAAAATGAAAGTAACAAAATGACTGATATGATACTGATATATGTTACCAGTAAGTTTCTGAACATTTTGGACACTGAATTTTCAGTATTTAAAAATGACTGTCCATATGATCCCTGTTGATGATAAGATTGTCAGAAAAAACTTTCATTTTGGTTGTAGTGTTGAAGTGTGATTTTGTTGGTGTAACACTGTAGGGGAGTCTAAGCAAAATGGCTCCTTTTTAACATTGATATGTTGTTATTTTGAATATATGATAAAAAGAACATTATTTAAAAGAACATTATTTACGTGTAGCTTCAATACTAAATTTATTGAACTCATTATAAAACGGTATTTTGCTCACCATAACCTTACATATGATTTTATTCAACTCCTTAAATAAATTTAGTATTAACCTACACTCGTCCAATATCCTCTATTTCAAATCTTTTCTTAGAATGGCTCAGACATGCCATTATACCAAAAAAAACACTTATCAAAATTTATTGGAATAACTTGATCCCCTCCATCTTGTTCCCTCTTATTTTCCTTCTTCAAGTTTTCAACCAATCAGTAGTAAGTTTATATTTCAAATATATGTGAAGGGTCTCATAGAAATTGAGACTCAAACAGAATTTGCAGACATATAACTAAAAAACTTGAATGTTTTTTGATGTCGTGCATTCAAAAGTTACTGACACCATATATTGTCACAAAAAAACTCAATTGACTTTTGATATAAACTGCCCTTTACATTTTTAACATGATCTGAAATTTTATTAACTTTACAAACAGAATACATTTGTACTTTAAATAATATATGTAAGAAGGAAGCCAAGTTGCTGAACTTGTGGATTATTACATATAATATTGTTTTTCGCTCACCTGTCAAAAAGAGACATGGTGAGCTTTTGTGATCGCTTTTTGGCCAACGTCCGTCCGGCCATAAACTTACTTCAAACGACATCTCCTCATAAATCACAAAGCCAATTTCATCCAAACTTCACAGGAATGTTCCTTTGGTAGTCGACTTTAAAAATTGTTCAAAGAATTTAATTCCAAGCAAAACTCTGTACCATGGCAACCAAAAGCAAAAACTTAAAATATCTTCTTTTAGAAAACAGAAAGAGCTGGAGCTTGAATATTTTGCATGAAATATCATCAAGTCAGTGTGTACCGAGTTTGTTAAAAAAATGCCCTGGGGTCAAAATTGGCCCTGCCCCGGGGGTCATTGAAAAATTAAAAAAGAACCCAAATAGCTAGAGCTTAGATATTAAGTATGAAACATCTTCTAATGGGTGTCTACCAAGTTTGTTCAAATAAAAGCCCCTGGTTTAAAATTGCACTTGGCCCAGGGGCCTATATACTGGTAAGCGATTTCAGGACCATCATGGCCCTCATTTTGTTTCTTACCAATTTTAGAAGTATTTTTCAGTCACAAAAGCTATTTCCCTTTCCACTGCTTCTTTTTAAAAACATGTGAGAATTACAATACAAATAGCAATTGCAATTAGCAGCACAGTTAATGTATGTGAGTGTTATGTGTGTGCTTCATTGTGTAGTACATTGTATTATTACATACTTTTGCTTTTATCCTTTTTCACAAATAAACACTTTCAAATTATTTAAGATATAAGTAATCATTGTAAAGATTGTGTATATACTAGGGACAATTTCATATTTTTAAACCTGAAAAAGAATTCAGGGATGTGTCATTTTTGTGAATGCCTGTTGTCAGAAGTTGCATTTTGATGTTTGCTTTGTGCAATAGATCATGGTTCATTATTTGCCATGAATTCCTATTCAATCAAAAAAAATGCAAGTTAAATTTATTTCTCTTTTGTTTTGTAAAATTAATAAATAATATTTTTCTTTTGTTTTGTTTCCTTTTAAACTTTGTTAATATTGTTATATGGCATATTACATTTTGAATGTTCTTATTTGCTTTTTTTCCCCAAAAAATTACTTTATATCACAAGGAAAATTCTTGGATTCATATAATCTAAAGAGTATTTCATATTAGAAAGTATTGGATGAGCAACAGTTACTAATGCAAAATTTACTTTATTTGCCAATTGTAATCAGTGATGAAGAAATTTATGATAACTGTAGTTGTAATCATTGATTACTAGATACCAAGTATTTCTGTGGTTTATATAAAGAATTTATGTCATATTTAAAAATTAAAGCGTGTTTTATTGAAAAATTGCTATCTTTGTAGTTTTCTATTATCATCATTATGTTAAACAGAATTTAACTGTTGAGTGATTTGAAATAGTCTCATTTTGTAGTTGTAGCAGTTAGAGAACAAAATGTTATGTGTAATATTTAAAGTTTATATATTGTAGTTAGAGAACAAAATGTTATGTGTAACATTTAAATTTTATATATTGTTGTTGTTGTTTTTGTTTTTTTACTCAAATGTTTATTTGATAGTTTTGATATAATAATGCAGGTAGCATTAAACCTTTACATATTTTTGTGTTTAAAGATCCATTATCATTCATAAACTTCTCAATATTTTATTTTTAGAATTAACAGCTGAGAACAAAATTAATTGAATTTAATATCATGAAACAATACAGTCTCTCAAATTATACTTCATATTCAAATAAATATTAGTTTGAAATCTAAGTTGATAAAATCTCCTTCCTTATAGGTCTCTTAATGGAAAAAAATATTTACATAAAAACATGCACATTTTTTTCTAAATTCAACTTGTAATACATAATAAGACTTAAGTGCACATTTTTATCATATAATTATTTATTTATGTACTTGAAATTTTATTCTGTAAACTTTTGATCTCATTGGTAGTGGATTTTTAGTGATATTTATGATTTTTATACTATAATGCAGGCAGCATTCATCCTTTACATATTGTTATGTTTTTTTTTAAATTTTGTTTCGTTAAATGTTCCAGAATTTTGAGCTTTTTCTTTTATGATTTTATCAAGATGCTTACAAGGTAGATAACAAATTCATGCTTTGAACACTGTGTTTCTGCCTTTGATTTTTACACTGTATTTAAATAGTTGACTGAATTAGACCACATCACTCACTGCTGTTGTGATGTCTTTAAAACGAAAAAAAAAACAAAAAAAAAACAGAAATAATTTGTCATTATCAGAGATGGAAAGTAGTTCTAAGAACATGACCAATTTCTTCATGTTTGAACTTTTAACTGGAGCTGTTGGATGCATTTAACCTAATAAATTAAACATTTTGATAATATACATCACTTTTCAAAATATTAAACAGAAATGATTAACCTGTCAATTATTGAGCTTTCTAAAATCACTTTCTAGTACTGCAAGTTATCAAGTAAACAATATACTAAATGTTGCTTTCCTTGTATTGCATATGTTTCAGAACACTGTTTTCAAAATCATTCAAGATTAGAGGATATAAGAATTAATAAACCATTTATCCACAATTTCTGAAATATTTATTTGTCATACAAAAGATCTTATTACTTAGTTCTATATTATAACATACAAACTGGCATTAAAATTTAGATATTGTTACCTTTTGTAAGTCTTTTTATAACTTTGATGTATTAATGCAGGTAGCATTAAACATTTAGATATTTAGTTTTTTTAAAGTTGATTGTTTTTATTGTTTTATTTTCTATTTTGTTTTATCTTAATGAAAAATGTTTTAAAACAAATAAAAAATTTAAAATAGTAAAGTTGTTCTCTCTCCTTTACTCATGGAAGACAAACAAAACCCCACACACCTCAAACTTTTAATTTAAGAGTGGACAAAACCCCACACCTAATTTTATAGAGTGGACAAAACCCCACACCTGATTTTATAGGGTGGTCAAAACCCCACACCTTCAATTTTATAGAGTGAACATGACCCCACATGTTTTATTACTAACATGTATATTACTAATATTTATATAATCGCCTCTGTGGCCAAGGGGCTAGAGTCAATTACTTAATCCAGTTACCTCTCAGGCGTGGGTTTGATCCCCGTGAGATGTTTTCATAGGTTAGCAGGGAGGAGGTAGTCTAGTACTGATGTAACTCGCCAGGAATGATAGTTAGGAAACTACCGGCCTATATGACTGAAATACTGTTGGCAAAAGGCGTAAAATGAAACAAACAAACAAAACTAATATGTTTATACCTTTGGCTGACAATAAAATAACCAACGTTATTGACATTTTGAATAATTAATGTTAATTAAGATTAATGAATGTTTACCCATAACAGATTGTAATATTTGAATGCTTACCCTTTGCTTTTTATTTAACAGTTTGTAATATTTGTACAGTCTTATTATCATTTAACCATATATTGTTCTTTCCTAACAAGATCAAAATGATATAAATTGAATGGTTTTATAACAAATGATTACTAATAATCACTTCATATTCCTCTTTTGTTTTGTCTTTTTTTCATAATTTTTTTTTATAAATATTTGGTGAATTAGGAAGCTCTAATAGAGTGAGCTTTTACAACACGTGTATATTGATAAAGTAACTAGCTAGTGATGAAATATTTATTACACAATCCTATATCACTTATAATTACTCATTGCTTGGATGTCAAAAGGAAAAGTTCAATTGTACAGAAACAAAAATAAAAAAATTCTTTTTCTACACCATTTAAGTGTTGTCTTAATGCGGTGGCATAGCATTTTTCACAAATGCAATCTTGTTTTTATCATGGATTAAAATAGCATTGGCATCTATTTTAAAGTTTTGATTGTGATTTTATGTTTTTTGTTTAATTGTATATGTTAATCTGTGAGGAAGACTAACAGCCCACATCAATTGGAATTTCATTAACATGAGGTATATGAAAATGTATGTATGTACAGTTTTACATAACAGATTGTTTTAATTAACACTGTGTTGATCAAATAGCAAGGAAGAATTGTTGTGTTTTGTCAGGGAGGGGAATCTATGTTTAACTTCAGGATGTTACATCCATGTGTACAGAATAAGTGAGAAATTATCTTTTCGATGACACTTTTATAAATTTTATTCACAAATTAGAAATTACTCCCAGAATATTTTCGATTGCATTCAAGGGAGATAATTTCAAAAGTGGTTTTGCTAAAGGAAAGGGAGTTAATGCAAAAGGAAATTAGTTTGAATGAGGAAAATAATTGTATTTAGTTGGCTTGTCATCAAAGTGGGGAAGGTAATTCTGGAAGGGTGGCGGAATAAGTTAGAAAAGTGGAGTTTTCCGAGCTAGCCAATGTCTTGTCACACCTGGTGCAGACGACATCGCAGGAATTAAGGGGCAGGAGAAGACAACTCCAGCTGTCTCCAAATCTCATTGATATTACGATGAACCTCAAACACTTGCTTAGAAAATTTGAACAGGTATAAAATAAGATACATACATGTATATTCAATGTCTGTCTGTCTGTATGATATGTATATATGTATTTGTATTGGATTGAGACAAGGGAGGTAAATATCATTTTATATGGTATGGTTTCTATGTGAGAGATAACTCTTCTCTGATTGTCAGTAATATATGACTTAGGGATGTAGGTGGTGGTGGTGTTAAATTGGTACATGTAGCTTACCCTTCTTTGAATTCACCAGAGTAAATTTATTTTTTTCACTGATTTGCCTTTTATATTAATGACATCATCGGCAATCCAATATATTTGGGTCGGATCTCAGGTTTTATATCAGTTTCAGGGTACTAATACAAAATGCAGTAGAATATTTTAATCATATAATTACATACTGTAATTATAGATATTGTTGTCATAGAGAAATTTAGCTCTTTAAGTTTCATCATGGTGACAAGATTCTATTTGTTCTTTAATTAGAGGTGTGTCAATTAGTTGTATGATAATATAGGGCAGGAAGTTAGCAGGATACAGGTGCAGTTGTGTCATTAAATCTTTCTCTTTGTCTCTAAGATGGACTTGTACTTCAGAAAGGAATGTTTGTCTTGAATAAGTTCTTGGTTACTAATGAAGCTTTCATCATATAGTTTAATTAGAAAATAACTTATTTCAAAGTGGCAAAATCATTTCTGTTCCATTGAAATTAGCATCAGATATATAAATGGTACCAGGATGTGTAGAGTAACTGTTTGTTTACTAATTGCCCAATTTTAGTAAACAAATTTAAAATTTGATTTAACGTGATTCGTGCCACACAATTGAAAATATTTAACAGCTGTTTCATGAGTATTTACAATTTGGCCGCTTGCCGATGGCACCTGATTTAAAATGAAAATGTTCGGTGAAAGTCTGTTACCGCCAGTATCTGGTGTACATTTTTTTTTTACCAAATTGAATAAAAGGTTAATTGGCAGTAATATCAGAAGTTGTGAAGAAGAAAGCTTCTCCTGTCAAGATTATAATTGATGTATTGATGCGAAGGTAAAAATGTGTTTTTTGCCGAATTATTGAAGATTAGCTGGGGAAAATAAAAGAAATATACTGTTAAGCTCTTATAATAAACACCCACTGTTAAAAGATGATTTACATCATCGTAATGGAAAGCTTGTCAGAATAAAATAAAAATTGAAATAAAAGTTTCAAAACAAATATTACAGGCTTTATCATAAATAAAACTGGTATGCAAATTGAAATCATACAATAAAACGGGTATGCAAATTGAAATCATACAATAAAACTGGTATGCAAATTGAAATCATACAATAAAACGGGTATACAAATTGAAATCATACAATAAAACTGGTACTATGCTAATTGTACATTTCTATCTAAAATTATTGAACTTTGCATTTTACTTTGACCTTCTGAAACAGAAGTTTGCCAGCTTGCACATCAATGCATTTTTAAAGTCTTTACACTGTTGGCAGACTTACTTTACATTTTCATCTTGGTAGCCCGAAAGTTCATAATGGAGAGCCCCTAAAATAAAAGTTGGACAAGTTCATTTAAGAAATTCATGTGAGTTAGGGTTAATCCATGTTCAAAGTTAGAAAAGATAAATAACCTAGAGAATAGAAGACATGATTTAGCTTGTTCTGGTTTTTGAAACTCCAACAGTATTTTTAAACTATAGAGAAACATGTAGGAACATATGTATATTTTATCAAGACAAATACTTTCTGTCTATTCTCATTATATCCCTTTCTATGATGTCTATTAATCAATTTTTGATCAGCTAAATGGAATCTTGACCCATTATACAAATTAGTTTTATCACTGGATATTATCTTCTGTACATTATGAAGATGGCCCCTTATCTTATACCATACACCAGCAGTTCTATATTGTTTAGAAGTTAAATGATTTATGGAAAAGCAAGTGTAATTAATGGATTTATGAGAAACATTTGCTTCTACAACAAATGACCTTTGTTGATAAAAGGTGTAATTGTAATAAGTTTTCAATTTTTTCTTGGTTAATAACAGACACTTTAGATTTTGTTTTCATTTAGTATTTGGCTTAAATTGATCAAAAGTTGTCTCCCTTGCTTGTGAATTCGATGAATTGTCTGACACTTGGTGTCTCAAGTGGTAAAGATTTAAACAAGATTACAGAAAAGTTAAATGTTGACCACTTAAAAAGAAGATGTATCTACTTGAGATTAATTACTTAATCTCTCTAAAGGGCTCTTAACATAAGATTATTTTGTGATATACCTCCCTTTACTAAGATAATATTGTGAATTACCTCCCTTTACTGTGATATAAGATTTTTTTGTGTTATTCAATGATTTGAATGCCTGTTTTAATGACCCGCCTTGGGATTTTAATTGAATGAGAACTGTGTTTTATTATGTTGGAGATAGTGAACAGTTTAACCTGTAATTAGTTTTTGATATACTAAACTATTCATGTCTTTCCCTGTTAGATTATTCAAGCATTTAATTGTATCATCTTAATTGATTTCAGATTTTCTTACCATTTGAATGTTTGTGTGATGTTACTTTAATAGACATGTTTGTACATAGTCTGATCTTAATGTGTAATATAATTCCTGAAATAAATATTAGTTTTACTTTTAAATTTATATATCGTACAATATATGTACAGAAGTATGTGAAAGTATAAAAAATTCATATGTTGGCCAATAATGTTTAAAAATAGAGAGCTAGTGACCTTGGTTTTCACTGGTCACATGGAAAGACTCAGTAACCCCACTGTTTTGTTTTTTTTTACCAAAATATTCGGCGAAATTCGGCCCCATTTCCCCCTCAAAATAGTATGTTTAAGAAAAAGCGACGTTTTTTTATAATGTGTTGCAAGAGTTGCTCCCCTTTTATACCAGAAAAACACAATATAACATATTTTAACAAATTAAAATTCCCCCTCCTATTGCAATTTTCCCCCTCCAAAGGGCACGGACCCCCTTCCCCCAAAAGTGAAAAAAAAAGACTGAACCCCCCAAGCAGGTTAGGTGTTTAACCACCAGTAGATTCCTGAAAGACCAGGGCAAGTTCATTTATACATGGTATATGGAATATTTGCCAATGTTGATATAATTAGAGGAAGGAAAGTAATAAATCATTTACAAACTATTATATGAATATTCCTGGAAATCTTCTCTGGGACTGATGAGTTATGAATTTTGACAGTTAGGGGTCATTGGTACACTGGTAGAGATTTGTTTAGATGTATGTGTTAAATTGACCATTTCTTTTAATGTGAAATTCTAATGGCAAATACAGGCTTAAATAATTCATTCCTGAAGGAAAGATCTCTACCAGTCAGCAATATTTTCAGCATCTTGTTACAGCTTATAACCCTTGCACTTGTTTTTTTGCTTTGAATTTGGAATTTGGTACAGTATTACCTTGAGAAGATAATGTTTAATGAAGGTTTTTGTTTTTTGAGGTAGGGGTTTTTTGTCAAAGAAGTTAGCAGTATGAAGCCATGTTTAGAGTGAAACTTCTGGCTTATGTCTATACTTGTTTTCATAGAAAAGTGATTATAACAATAAATTTTATCTGGAACTCTGCAAATATGGGTTTTTCCAGGCAAAATATAGGTTTTTTCAAGGCAAAATATTGTGTTTTACAGTTTACTGTTAATGGCTTGATGATGTTCTACTGTTCACAATAAATTAGTCAACCTGTCTGCCTTAGTTTTGAAGTTATAATTTTAAAAACTTGTTTGCACCCTGAAATAAGCTGGGAATAAAAACTCAAAAATATTCTTAATTCTAGAGTAATTCTAGTTCAGACGAGAGAGCTTTCAAAATATGTCTCCCTAATCAATCAAACAGTTTGATGAATCATTTTACTGATCGTAACCCACTGGTCACAGCTGACCATGTTTAACTTAATTATGTACTTTTAACAAGTCAATACTGAATTCAGGTAAATATAAATCTTTCAGATTTTATATAGCTGGTATAAGGTGTGAATTTAAATCTCTCTGATTACACTTGGTGACCCCTTTCATTCCCCTCTGTATTTCCATTTCTATTTGCATTAAACATAAAAGAACAAATTTAGATTTAATTACATTAGGAAAAAATTTAAAGGTTAACAAATGGATATGAAAGTTTATTGCCTGAATATGTTATTATTTCTTTGTGTAGGAAATTAGTGTTATTAATTAAAGTACCAAGTTTACTGTGAATGAAGCATGGTTTCATTCTATATGTCAATGTTTTGAGTTTTTACAGGAAATGTAGCATGCTACATATATAATTATTAAGTTTTTAATGAATTTAATAAAAGTGTTGACTACAGTGATGTTTGCCCTTTACATTGATGTTTTTCATCAGAACGTTCACAAAATTTGTCTAGCATATGGGCCCTATCATTTTCTGCTTCAGCCTTCATAATCTTTACAACTTTAATTTGAGGATGTGAATCTTAGAGCACTGTATGTGGTGTTAAAAATAGTCTGGTAAAAAATTTAAGTGAAAAAGGGGCATAACTCTGAAAGTATTGCTTTCAGAATTATACCCCTTGGCTAATGTGCAGATCCAGGATTTTTTATTCCAGAGGGGGTTGCAAAATTACTTAACAAACACCTATTGGGTCTGCCCCTTATGATTATATACAATATATGAATAAATAAATATCAAGGACTATAGGATAATGTTTTTAGGTTAATTGTTTTTGCACAACTGAACTTATATTCAATTAAACACATCAGTTACCTGAGGTAGTTTAGATATGAAAATATCAGTGAAGTATTGACCGCACGGAGTTATTGCCCTTGGGCATAATGATATATTATACAGACACCTTGGTTTGACTATAATATTTATAATAGTTTGTGATGTTTCATACTGATTAGATGACTGGCTGATAATTAACTGGACTTAATGTGATATATAAATTGACACACTAATTAGTCTAGTTCTTATCTAATATTAGACATTAAACCCAGCTTATATTACAATATACAATCTATTATATAGTGAAATCAAATTAAGGCTGCACATTTTCTATAAGGCTAATTACGACAATGATATAGTATCACTGACCATTGAACGGAGAAATGAATGAAAAACGTCGTAACATCATGCAAGACTGTTATATCTCTTCAATTATTAATGTTGCAGATACGCTATTATTGCTTTAATGCAAGTTTTTTTATGTCCCAATTATTCGATGAAAAATCCAGCTTAATATGTCTCATTGAATTGATGCCTTTAAGATCTCTAACCCGATATAATATATTTGTTTATTTGATATTAAACTATAGATTAACGGAATTCCACGATGTTACAATTTTGACAGGCATTCACTTAAATAGGATTTTCAGATAGATATCAAATCTGTATGGATGTTTTCATCAAACTATTTTATTGTTCTCTTTTATCCCATGCTTACTTTACCTGGTCAGTGTCAGGCTGGATTATTTTTTGTAATCTTTGGGTAGATTTGTTTCTGCTAGAGGTTTTGCCCATTCATTCAGATTCACCGACTGAATACTTAAGCCTAAAATAGTATTAGAAGATGTATCTGTAATCTAAAATTAGCATTTGACAATGCTTGCTCATGATTGGTTACAATTTAGCTCAAGTTTGGAAATGAACCATTGGTGTTAATGCATTTTTTTCTTGTCTCTCATCTTGACCATGTATTTTTGTCCTCATATTTAAAAATTCCGTAGCAGATTAACAGAGTATTATGTTAAGGGGAGATAATCATAGGAATAATATTAGTTTATCTGGCATTTTCAAAAAAAGATAATTACCTCCCTTGAGAGACCACTTGTGTACTCATATTTAATCATATTTCAAGTCTGGTGTTTATTTACAGGTTTGGGGGTTTTGTTGTAGGACCAAAGCTTTGATTATAGTATAATAGAATAAGATTATAATGTTTAACCTGTGACCTGCATTGACAGACCATTTGTCTACACATATACTCATATTTTTAGCCTGGTCTTTATGTACAGGATTATAGCTGTAGTTTTAGAGCCAAATCTTTGATAATAGTATGGAATACGATAGTAATGTTTGAATGTTCTCTCTACTTTCAGGATCTGCAAGCTGAGGTTGATGCCCAGGAAAGTACATACGATTCATTGACCACAGCTGGGAACCAGTTATCACACAGAATGGTGGGAACCGATATTCAGCGACTACATAAACGTCTGGAGGAGATGAACCAACGCTGGCTTAGTCTGATGACAAAATCCATGGAAATCAGGTGAGATATTGATCACATGTTATATGACCTTGATATTGATCACATGTAATATGACCTTGATATTAATCACATGTTATATGACCTTGATATTAATCACACGTTATATGACCTTGATATTGATCAGATGTTATATGACCTTGATATTGATCAGATGTTATATGACCTTGATATTGATCAGATGTTATATGACCTTGTCATTGATCAGATGTTATATGACCTTGTCATTGATCAGATGTTATATGACCTTGATATTGATCAGATGTTATATGACCTTGATATTGATCAGATGTTATATGACCTTTACATTGATCAGCTGTTATATGACCTTGACATTGATCAGATGTTATATGACCTTGACATTGATCAGATGTTATAGACCTTGTCATTGATCAGATGTTATATGACCTTGATACTGATCAGATGTTATATGACCTTGTCATTGATCAGATGTTATATGACCTTGATATTGATCAGATGTTATATGACCTTGATATTGATCAGATGTTATATCACCTTGACAGTGTTATTATTGAAAAAAAAAACAAAAAAAACACACACACAAATTAATCACAAGTTAATATTAAAAAAAACACACACACAAATTAATCACAAGTTAATATTAAAAAAAAACACACACACACACAAATTAATCACAAGTTAATATAACCAGTCTACAACAGCTGTAATGACTTGTTGAAGTCACCATTATAGTTCCAGGTGAGCATGCATACCAACGTATGTGCAGTTTGAACTGTCATACATGTATAATTTTTGAGCAGACCAAGTTTTAGTGTTTTCTGGATTGAAATTGATAAAAATTCTATGGGCAGTTCCAGATTTAAATCTAAGCTCACTTAAATACCAGAGGTTAAGGCTTAAAATACTTTACTCCCATTATCATGATGTCCAGAGATATGTAGCCCCCAGACTTTCACATTTCAATTTAATAGAGTTAGCTTAACATTTTTGTAATAGACTTTATAGTGTAGGTGTAAAAGTTATAAGGTAGTAAATGAAATGGTAGGAACTGCTCTAAGCTTCCATGCATGCAGTAAACAGAGAAAACCCATCAGTTTCCTCCACCAATACAATCAGTAATGTACACAAGTATAGAATTGATCAAACCAGCATTTCTGGTTTATATAAAGATCAAATAAAAGATTTCATTATGTCTGATAGATTGTGATACCATCATTTAGTTAACAGTTTCCACCTCAGGGTGATATAACAATTCTGGTTTAGGAACTCAGAGACTATGTTATTCAATTATGTATGAACTGACAGGGACTGCTACTGTTTCCTTGACACAATTTATTTTTATTTCATGTATTGCTTTGAATATATATATAAGTCTTCTCTACACTCTAAACTCCTTCCATGCAAGTAATTATAAAGTCTAATGTTAATGTAATTATTTTCAAGGGTCAATGAATATTTAAGCCTGGCTCTATTCTGAACCCCACCTCGACTGTATTCAAGCCTGACTCTATACCCAAGCCTACCTAACTCTATACTCTAGTCTAGCCTAACTCTATACTCTAGCTGAACTCTGTACTCCATACTCTATAATGTTGCCCTATGCTTTACTCTAGCCTTACTCTATATTCCATACTCTATAATGTAGCCTCACTCTTTACTCTAGCCTCACTCTATATGCTAGCCTAACTCTATATTCCATACTCTATAATGTAGCCTCACTCTTTACTCTAGCCTCACTCTATATGCTAGCCTAACTCTATATTCCATACTCTATAATGTAGCCTCACTCTTTACTCTAACCTCACTCTTTATTCCATAGTCTATAATGTAGCCTTACGCTTTACTCTTACCTAACTCTATACCTAGCCTTACTGTACACTAGCCTAACTCTATATTCCATACCTAATAATGTAGCCTTATGCTTTACTCTTACCTAACTCTATACGCTAGCCTTACTGTACACTAGCCTAACTCTATATTCCATACCTAATAATGTAGCCTTATGCTTTACTCTTTCCTAACTGTATAAACTAGGCTTACTGTACAATTAGCCTGGCATTATACATTACTTTAAACTGGCTATAAAAGTAATATGGTTTAGGCTTAATTGAAAGACAAATCCATTTAAGATACTGTGTATATATATGTATAGCATTTTAAGGGTTAATGCATACCAAACAATGCTTGCAAGAACAGGCCAGGGATTAGACAAGATGCAGTACTGTATGGTTACATCTCTCTTTAATTTAAACTTTCATAAAAGGTATATATGCTTAGTTATTGTTACTGCACTGTCTGAAAACCCAACATGAGATCATGTGTGAATATCCTTTCACCGTTGAAGCAGATGGTGTGTATATGCTGTATTAGACTGAAAAAAGTTTTCTTTTAAAGTACATACATCTAAAGTATAAAATTTGAGCCGTGTCACGACAAAACCAACATAGTGGGTTTGCGACCAGCATGGATCCAGAACTGCCTGCGCCTCCGCGCAGTCTGATTAGGATCCATGCTGTTCGCTATCAGTTTCTCTACTTGTAATAGGGTTTGTAAGCGAACAGCATGGATCCTGATCAGACTGCGCGAATGCGCAGGCTGGTCTGGATCCATGCTGATCGCAAACGCATTACGTTGGTTTTGTCGTGACGCGGCTCAAACATTGATATATTGAGATGATAGCATTGTGACTGAGGTAACTGCTGCTGATATCTCATCCTATGATATTCTGATATCATTTTATGTCCATGTTTCCCTATCATCTGTGATGAATGAATAATTTACAACATGTTCAATGCCTGAATCTGATATCAGCATTAAATTATTCCTACATGTATATATCATTCCTCTGTCTGGTACAATGTACTGTATTTCAGTTTTGTTGATGTTGGGGGGGAGTGCACATTTAATTGAATATCAATAATGTTTGATGCATTTTCAAATGAAAATTTCATTTTGATTGTTTGTTAAAACAAAAACAATGCCATGAAGTAAAAGTCAATAAATAATTCTTTGTAAATGTTGCAGTTTTTTGCATATCTGTTATTCAAATGAGGTTGATATACTGTCAGAATACCAATTAATGTTCGCTAAATTCTTGAAATATAAAATTCTAAAATGCATTTAAATGAATAAATTATATAGGCTGCAGCAAATGAATCTGCAGGAAAGAAAAGAATGATAATTTTTTATTCATTTATAATACTTTGATGTGGTGATATAAACAATGAGAAGGGTAATGATGAATTTGGTATGTATATTACCATGGCTGGCCTGTCTTTGATTGTTACCGTGGCTGTGTAGTGTATCCTACAATAATGGCATTTATTCAAGGTACCTCACACAGGCCATAACAGAAAAATTAAGGAATGAGAATGCTTTCATTTAAATTAGACTAATCTAGCTCTAGCTATAGGTCTCGCATGTAATTGAATATGATATGTTTCCAGCAATATAAATCTAGATATATAAGGGATATAACACTTTTATTGCATTTACTTTGTGTTTTTTGTTTTTAAATCTTTGGTAGCCTATCTTATTTTCCCATTAGGGAGGCATTTACCTAGAAGATTTTTGGGCAAGGCACATATTTTTTCTGTAGACAGTATGTCTAACATCATCGTTACAGAGTCTTAGAACATCTTGTAAGAAAACTAAACTATTCTGTATATGTAACAGATTAGTGTTACACCAACAGACAAACTAAAAAAATAAAAAATCCTTAGATATTTTTCTATGTTATTTACACCCATTTGACCTTTAATATCAGTAGAAATTTTGTTACAGAGGTCGTCTGGAGACAAATGCAGAGCAATGGTTACGTCTGCTTCACACAATACAAGACCTGTTGGCATGGATACTCAAGAAACAGCATGATCTCAAAGCTCAACGACCAGTTGGGGGAGATAACTCTACATTGCAAAAGCAGATGGAGTCAAATAAGGTCTGTCCGCATTACTCCCCTTTTCTCTATCTTGATTGTTAGACAAATTGGGTATTTTGACCATACTGTAGAAAGTTACGCATACTTTAAGCCCATGCTTACACTGTACAGGTTTTGTACTTCTTTTCTATATGGTCTCTTAAAGATTAGTTTAACCTTAAATATATAGCAAAACAACACAAGGAAGTTTTGAAAGACTTTGTCAATTTTCTTTTGAAACATAAATTTGATATGAATGTAATTACCTATATATTTTTAATAATAATTTTGCTAGAAAAGAAAGTAGTCCAGCAAACAGTATTTTTTATATGGAATGATAGTTGATAAATCGTTCCCTAATAACAGCCAGATAAATTTACTGTTTTTACCCGACAGCTATTTATTATAATCTGATAAAACTAATTGCTTCCACTCTCTCTTTTATACTATATTTCATCGTACATCATTTATAAAGTCAAGGTAACGAGGTTGGTGGTCGTGATAGGTATGATGGTGACTTTATTGAATTATTTTTTATCGTTTATTTAGAATTTACGGGAAGAATTGAGTATGAAGCGTCAGTTGGTCGAGCAGACGTTGGAAGCCGGGCGCCTGTACCTGCAGGAAGAAGGGGAAGATAACCGGCTCAGTGTAGATAGTGGAGACAGCAGCGAGACAGGTAAATATATAACACAATATAGTAAAGCCGGGCACAAGACTTATGCATAGCTTTAATATATATCATTGTCATTAAAAGTTAGGCATCAAGAATTTTTCCTCTTATTTTGGTTGGGCTTTAAACCAGTCAAATGCTGTAAAGGTGATACGGTAACTGCAACTTTCTATAACCTTATTTTCTGGTTGATTTAGACAGTAGATGACCCGATATTTCTGTCACATGTACACTAAAGACCTTCACACTTCCTGGAAACCTTTTTCATAGGACAAACCAGTCTGTGGTGAGACTTGAACCAACACAGACTTGATACAAAAGATTTTAAAAAAAATCATCTTAACCACTTTAACCCAGATTCCATGCAACAAGATGATATAATTACTCTCACACAATGTAATGTGAATTGAAACATTTTGTTCTTTTCGTATGTGAAAATTATGTTTATAATATTCTTTGAGACATATTTATTGTCTAGTGCTATTATTGGAAATGCATGAAAGGCAAGCAATGTATAATTTTATTTGATTCAATTTTGTTACATATTTCTATATCCTAAAATGATGAAATGCAATAGCAACATAGTAGTTCTAAAGATATATAACTAACATGATATATGGGTATTTGATTGTGAATAATTTGTATTTCTAGGTGATATAAGTTTAGAGAAATCACCCGAGCATGAAGCTCAGGAGCTCATTAAAAAGATTAGACGTCAGATCCGCCTCTTAAATAGAAAGTGGGCGGAGCTTAACCAAAATTGTAACCAATGGCAAGCCATTTTAGACGAGGTCTCAGAGGTAAGAATAGAATAGTTTATTATCTACTGCATGTTTAGTTTCTTTTTTATTTTAAATAAGATAATAGGTTGAATAGTGACATGAAAATTTAATATTCTCCTGTTGATTGTGTATGTATTTGTAAATTTGATTGTCCAATATCTTACTATACAGACTGTTTAAGCATATCCTCTTCTTCTCTTAGTCGTTTAAATTGTAGATCTGCTATTTATTTGTTTAAATGAATACTAAATCTTACATTGCATTCCTACAGAAAATGACATTCTTCCAAGATTCCATGGATGATTTAAATGAAAGTTTAGTTAAAGCCGAACATGAGAAGGATAGCTGGCAGCCTGTAGGTGACATCCTCATAGAAAACCTGCAGTATGAGATAGAGAAAACTAAAGTAAGTGAGATAAAAACAAAACCTACAGTATGAGATAGAGAAAACTAAAAGTAAGTGAGATAAAAACAAAACCTACAGTATGAGATAGAGAAACCTAAAGTAAGTGAGATAAAAACAAAACCTACAGTATGAGATAGCAAAAACTTAAGTGAGATAAAAACAAATCCTACAGTATGAGATAGAGAAAACTTAAGTAAGTGAGATAAAAACAAAACTAAAGTGAGATTAAAACAAATACTGTAGTATGAGATAGATAAAACTTAAGTGAGATAGAAAGTTGTATGAGAAAGAGAAAACTAATGTAAGTGAGAAAAAACAACACTTTCTATAAGATAGAGAAAATTACGTAAATGAGATTAAAAAAACAAAAACAAAAAAACAGTATGAGATACAAAAAAAAAAACACTCGAGTAAGTGAGATCAAAAGTAAAAGAGATCAAAACAAAACCTGCAGTATGAGATAGAGAAAACTAAAGTAAAATCAAGCCCTGCAGTATGAGATATGTACAAATAAATATAAGAAGTGAGATAAAAAGCCTAAGAGATATATCAACATGATCAATGTAAAAATTAAAGCATCGGATTGGTTGATGGTTGTACTAATGTCTATTCTTTTGTCAGTAATAATGCAGGAATAAGGCACCTGACATTTCTCAACTTGTGACTCTTGAAAGTTGCCAGATAACATTAATAGTATATGTTTAGTTTGAAGTTCAACTAATTAGAATTCATTATCAAAAACTGACAGATTTAAGATTTGGAATGAAACATGACATTTGTTTTGTATTTCAGACATATCAGCAAGCAGTAGCCCCTATACAGGGTCAGGTAGACAATGTAAACGACCATGTTAATGATTTTGAGGCAGCCAATGTTGTACTGTCACATGTTTAAGTCACATAAATTAGAAGATTATAAACAAGGGTAATATTATTATTGCTTACGTGACCACAGTGAAGTGTAAATCTAGGATTTTATATACATGTACTAAACTCCTGTATCCTGCAGGATTATGTAATTCTAAGTTTTTGTGTGAAATTGTAGGCATATATTCATTAATGCATTTATATTCCTTGAGAAATGACTACTTTAAAAGGATGAAACAGTTAGTTGCTCTATTTCTTCATTTTAAGTACACCACATATACAATTTGAAATGGTTCTTATTGTTGTTAAACAGAATGGTCTTTTAATTTTATGAAAAAAAAAGTATTGAAGTAAATATCCTGAAAATTTGATGCTTATCCAGGTAATGAAGTGAGTAACTCACTGTTAATCAAAGTCCTACCTGTGTATAAATGTCATTTACTATAGAAATCAATAGCATTGCATGTAAAGAGTCTACAAGAATTACCTAACAAGGTTAGCAGGAAGTGTGAACAATGATTAATCAGTCAGAATTATAGTTGTATGATTTTATGATTATATTAACCTTTATAATTGTATGTTATTTCTATGTTTAGATGGAAAGAAATCCAGTTATCTGCTGAAGATAGGTTAAAAAATCTCCATGATGCCTTCCGTGCTTTTGGTCCGAACTCTCAACATTTCCTCTCAGGTATATATTTTGTATTACCTCAGCATTTCCTCTCAGGTATATATTTTATATAACCTCAACATTTCCTCTCAGGTATATATTTTATATAACCTCAACAATTCCTCTCAGGTATATATTTTATATAACCTCAACATTTCCTCTCAGGTATATATTTTATATAACCTCAACATTTTCTCTGAGGTATATATTTTATATAACCTCAACATTTCCTCTGAGGTATATATTTTATATAACCTCAACATTTCCTCTCAGGTTTTATATTTTATATAACCTCAACATTTCCTCTCAGGTATATATTTTATAACCTCAACATTTCCTCTCAGGTATATATTTTATATAACCTCAACATTTCCTCTCAGGTATATATTTTATATAACCTCAACATTTCCTCTCAGGTATATATTTTATATAACCTCAACATTTCCTCTCAGGTATATATTTTTTAACCTCAACATTTCCTCTCAGGTATATATTTTTTAACCTCAACATTTCCTCTCAGGTATATATTTTATATAACCTCAACATTTCCTCTCAGGTATATATTTTATATACCTCAACATTTTCTCTCAGGTATATATTTTATATAACCTCAACATTTTCCTCTCAGGTATATACTTTATATAACCTCAACATTTCCTCTCAGGTATATAACCTCAACATTTCCCTCAGGTATATATTTCATATAACCTCAATATTTCCTCTCAGGTATATATTTTATATTAACCTCAACATTTTTTTCTCAGGTATATATTTTTATATAACGCTCAAACATTTCCTCTCAGGTATATATTTTTTTAACCTCAACTTTCCTCTCAGGGTATATATTTATTACCTCAACATTTCCTCTCAGGTATATATTAATGTATCTCAAAACATTTCCTCTCAGATATATTCATACATGCCATATCCCCCGCCGGGGGGACAAAAAACCCCGATTTTCGACCATGTCTCCCGATCTCCCGCGTGGGATCGAAATCCCCCGATTTTCAAAAAATTCAACAACAAAAAAATTAAAGCATCATTTTTACCAATAAACATAATTAAACAATCCTAGACTTAAACAACTTTTACAACTATATATGCCTGAAGTAATGTTTCCAATTAAACAGCAGGGGCTAACAGATAATTGTATTGTTAGTTACTCCGACACACTTCAGCTGTCAAGGAAATAACAAATTCTCTTTGATAAACTGTCAATCAGTGTCAGTATTGCAGGTGCTTAACCAATTTTGGCAGCGTCGATACTGAATGTGTGACGTATCAATTTTTGTTGGGCTATGTAACCCCGCCTTGAGTTTGTTGTCGGCGTTGGGTTTTTGAAGATAAAAAAAATGATCAGGCAATAGAATCTCAAGAATACAGATTAGAACGTTTTGAAACTATTATTTTTTATGTAATGTGATCTATGTTGTTTGCAAAAATAATATAACTAGCTTTGTCTCACAGTAAGCAAAAACACTGAGGAGGGATTGAAAGAGGTAAAATCTCCGTTTAATCAGATAAATAATAAATAATACCTGTTTTAACACCCAAAGGGCCAAAATAATTAGGTCCAATTATTATCCAGTTGTCCAGTACACTCCAAAAAACCTTTACACAACTCTGCATCAATTACGTTTACATGTACATACAGGTATCAAGTGACGTAGTGTCTAGACTCCCCTACTGCATATAAGGCAATCGATGTGTTTAAAAAATTGGTGTGAAGTACTATGACCTGAGTAAACTGGATTAAGATTTGTGTCAGATTTTTTTTTTTTTACGGTTTATGAAAGTGTCAACGGAAATTTTAACACAGCATCCTTTTTATTTCACCTTTCTATGGCTACAAAAATTCTCCGTGGAAAATGTTGATACCTTTTTTAAAGAGAAAAAATTTTTGGCTGTTAAAGTATATTTTTTTTTAATGATTTTGAATGCCAAAAATTCAAGTTATTTGTACTAAAATGATTCAATATATATCTGATATAAAAATGTATTTTATATGATAAACATACATTAAAATTATTTTGTTTTAGGCAGGGATTCTTATTTTATTTCATCAAATATTTTAAGTACTATGTTTATTTGCAATTGTTTACATATTATTCTTTCCACAGTCATGTATGTTAAACTTGAAATATCAAATGCTCTTTTGTAGAAATGTTCATTTTCATAATAAAATTGGGGAAATTTAAATTAAAATGTTTTGGGCATCGTTTAAAGATAACGACTGGTTTTTGTGCTTGCTTAAAAATCCCAGGCTACTTTTGGTCCAAATCCCCCTGCTTTTTAAAAAGGCCAAAATCCCCCTATCTGGGTGGCCTGGAATATTGGCATGTATGGATATATATATCTATCTAACCTCAATATTATTCTCTTGCACTTATTCTCTTAATCTCAACATTGACCCAAGGAAATTTCTGTAAATATAATCCATCAGAATTTTACCCATAATGTTCTATTTATAAAAATAACATGCAGTCTTTTCATATTTAAGGGGGATTTATATTTTATACTGAATTTTACCTAATATCATCTGTTGGTCAATCACCATTATAATCATCCTAATAAGTTAACCTTTTGAAATGTATAGCCAATTCAGCTTAGCTTACAATAAATAATAAGCATAAAGTCACTTTAACTTTGAATATTTTTAAAAATTTGGTCATATAATATTCAAAAATTTGGTCATTGATAGGCATTGCTCTTAACAGAATCTGATGTATTTTTACACTGGTTACTCATGTAAAACTCAACTTTGTCTTTGGGGACCATGAATAAATTTATCAATTTCTATCACTGGTGGGTATTTGAAAGGTTAACCTCAACATTTTTCACATGTATTAACTTACCTAACTCAACAAGTCCACACAGCTGTAGTACCTGAAAAAAACTTTTCAGTTGTTATTTCTACCCTGATGTTGTCATTGACTTTAAACTTATCATGTCGTTAAGGTTGCATTTCTGTTACATTCTTTCTTGTTTACTTAAAATCAACATTTTTTTAACTCAATAAGCAGTCTATTAAAATGGGGTTTAATTAAATTATCAGTCATATTAATCAGTCATATTGACCTTGTTTCAGGACTTCTCAAGTGTTACGTAATAAAATGGAATGTAGAATTTAGATCAACAAGACAAATAAATAAATCCTAGTTGGATCCCAGCCATTTTAGAGTATTAGAGAACAGGTCGAGGGGTGAAAGCGAAAGAAGTCTAAGTGCATATTTGTAAATTTTTCAGGAGAGACATAAAAAACTGTCCTGTTTTTTTTCAGGTTATATATATAATTTAACATTTGTGTACTCTGAAATGAAAATCAGTTATATTGTACATTTAAAAAAATTACTTGAAAAAAAAAAATGAAGAAAAAGATTTTATTTGTAAAAATGTACTTAGACTTTTTTCGCACTCAATATTTGTCAAAATATCACAAATTTGGTAAATGCGAAAAAAGTCTAAGTGACGGAAAACGGGAAATAAACACCCTATTTAGACAGAAATGCTCAATACAGAATAAGTTTGAATCATTACTTACTATTCTGATATAGAATTGGAAAGAAAATAATATAAATTAAAAAAAAAATTCACTTGGACCTTTTTTCGCAGTAAATGGTCATTTAAAAACTTGCCTGATAAATAAGTGACATTTGGGCCCTAAATTAACCGATACTTTTATCTTAAAGGAAAAAAATTTATTAAAGTTTTTTAAATTTTTTAAGGCAAATTTTTGGGTTTCCTTTATTTTTATTGCATTCATTTTCAAAAAAAAAAGGGATTTTTTTTTTTAATTGGCATAAACGGAATTTTTAAATTTTGGATTAATAAGATAATCACAAAAACCAGATACGGGAAAAGGAATTAGTTTCTTCAATTCAAATTTGTAAAACCAAAAAACAACCCATGTCACGCAACTGTATAAAATTGAAAATTTTCCCACAAGTCCAACTTAAATCACTGCCCATGCTACAGTATAAAGTTCCCCAATTTCCCACAATAAAATTTCTACAATCATTTTTCCATTTGCTTCAGTATCAACTTTGTTTACTTTTCCAAAAGCCCAACAACAAATCATTATTTGCTACAGTATCAACAGCTAAACAATTGCACAAATTCAACTCTACAACCATTGTCACTGCTACAGTATCAACAGGCTAACAATTCCACAAGTCCAACTCTACAATCACTGTCACTGATACAGTATCAACAGCTAACAATTCCACAAGTCCAACTCTACAATCACTATCACTGCTACGTTATCAACAGCTAACAATTCCACAAGTCCAACTCTACAAATCACTGTCACTTTGCTACAGTATCAACAGCTAACAATTCCACAAGTCCAACTCTACAATCACTGCCACTGATACAGTATCAACAGCTAACAATTGCACAATTCAACTCTACAATCATTGTCACTGCTACAGTATCAACAGCTAACAATTCCACAAATTCAACTCTACAATCACTGTCACTGATACAGTATCAAACAGCTAACAATTGCACAAATTCAACTCTACAATCACTGTCACTGCTACAGTATCAACAGCTAACAATTCCACAAATTCAACTCTACAATCATTGTCACCGATACAGTATCAAACAGCTAACAATTGCACAAATTCAACTCTACAATCACTGTCACTGCTACAGTCACAACAGCTAACAATTCCACAAGTCAACACTACAATCACTGTCACTGCTACAGTATCAACAGCTAACAATTGCACAAATTCACTCTACAATCATTGTCACTGCTACAGTATCAACAGCTAACAATTCCACAAGTCCAACACTACAATCACTGTCACTGCTACAGTATCAACAGCTAACAATTCCACAAGTCCAACTCTACAATCATTGTCACTGCTACAGTATCAACAGCTAACAATTGCACAAATTCAACTCTACAATCATTGTCACTGCTACAGTATCAACAGCTAACAATTTCCACAAGTCCAACTCTACAATCACTGTCACTTATACAGTATCAACAGCTAACAATTCCAGAAGTCCAA